CCTGGGCTCCTGGGTTGGATCGGTGGGCCGCGGCGAAGGACCTGGGCTCCCATTCAGTTCCCTTCATGTTTCCTTTCTGGGTTCCTGGGTTGGACGGGTGGGCCGCGGCAAAGAACCTGGGCTGTCATTGTGTTCCGTTCATGTTTCCTTCCTGGGCTTCTGGTTTGGACGGGTGGGCTGCGGCAAAGGACCTGGGCTCCCATTGGTCTCCCTTCATGCTTCCTTTCTGGGCTGCTAGGTTGGACCTGGACTCCCGTTGGGCTCCCTCCATGTTTCCTTGGGCCGCGGCAATCCCGTTTACATCCCTTCATGTTTCCTTTCTGGGCTCCTGGATTGGATGGGTGGGCCGCGGCAAAGGGATTGGGCTGCCAATTGGGCTTCCTTCCTGTTTGCTTTCTGGGCTCCTGGGTTGGACGGGCGGGCCGCAGCAGAGGGCCTGAGCTCCCGCTGGGTTCCCTTAATGTTTCCTTTCTGGGCGCCTGGTCTGCCACAAACGTCTACAGCAGAGGCCAGGTATCCGGTATCCCGTCTTGCAAGGCAGCAATGCTGTAACAGTTGTGTGTTTTTCCGTGCGTGGTTTCTGCTGCAGCAAGATCCTGTGGACGACGTTCTTCGTTCGGTTTGCGGCAAAATCGTCAATGGTTCCGTGTAAGGAAAATATTTGTTTGCGATGTAAGTCGACTCCTTCGCTTTTCTTTTTGCACTGTTTGTGGGCAAAGTTGCCCGTCTTTCCCGTGCGACAGCCGACCGATCCGTATACCAACCTGCTTCGTGCTTCTTCCGCAATCATCTACAGCAAAAGTCAGGTATCCTGTTTTGCAAAGCAGCAATGTTGTAACAGTTAGTTGATCGAATACGACATTCCCTGTCCTTGTATAGGTAACATGTCTGACTGTGTAGCTTAATGTGCCAATGACATGATCTTTGGCTCAAGTAATGAGAAAAAAGGTACGCTTGCAGCTTGTGTTCCTCTTCGGGTTGGGCTTCCCTTTTGCGTTTCCTTGCCATGCCCGGCGATGCTACCCCAATATCGTTGTGCTGCTGTTGAGGGTCGGATTAACTCAGTTGCGGGAAAGTTATGTGTATGTGTGTGTTCTCCGTGCGTGGTTTCTGCGGAAGTAAGATCCTGTGGACGAAGTTCTTCGTTCGGTCTGTGGAAAAATTCGTCAGTGGTTCCGTGTAAAGAACGATATTCATTTTGCTTTGTAAGCCGACACACCCCTGCGCGCGCTTCTTTTCGACAAAATTGCGCGGCAACGTTCCCACTTTTCCCCGTGCGACAGCCAACCGATCCGTAAACCAACCTCTTTTGTGCTTCTTCCACAAACGTCTACAGCAGAGGCCAGGTATCCAGTATCCTGTCTTGCAAGGCAGCAATGTTGTAACAGTTGCGGGAAGGTTGTGTGTTCTTCCGTGCGTGGTTTCTGCGGCAGCAGGATCCTGTGAACGACGTTCTTCGCTTTGTCTGCGGAAAAAATCGTCAATGGTTCCGAGTAAAGGGGAACTTGTGTGTTTCTGCGTGCGTGGTTTCTGCGGCAGCAAGATCCTGTGGACGACATTCTTCGTTTTGTCGGCGGAAAAAATCGTCAACGGTTTCGTGTAAAGAAAGATATTTGTTTGCGATGTAAGCCGACACACCCCTGTGCGTTTCTTTTTCCCAAGTTCGCGCGGCAAAGTTCTTACCTTTCCCGTGTGGCAGCCAACCGATCTGTATACCAACCCCTTTCGTGCTTCTTCCAACTACGTCTACAGCAGAGGCCACATATCCTGTCTCGCTAAACGGCAATGTTGCGTGTTTTTTCCGTGCGTGGTTTCTGCGGTAGCAAGATTCTATGGATCTTCGTTCGGTCTGCGGAAAAAGTCGTGAATGGTTCCGTGTAAAGAGAGATTTTTGTTTTGTGTTGTAAGCCGACGCACCCCTGCGCGCGCTTCTTTTCGCCAAAATTGCGCGGCAAAGTTCCCACTTTTCCCCGAGCGACAGCCAACCGATCCGTAAACCAACCTCTTTTGTGCTTCTTCCACAAACGTCTACAGCAGAGGCCAAGTATCCGGTATCCCGTCTTGCAAGGCAGCAATGTTGTAACAGTTGCGGGAAGGTTGTGTGTTCTTCCGTGCGTGGTTTCTGCGGCAGCAAGATCCTGTGAACGACGTTCTTCGCTTTGTCTGCGGAAAAAATCGTCAATGGTTCCGTGTAAAGGGGAACTTGTGTGTTTCTCCGTGCGTGGTTTCTGCGGCAGCAAGATCCTGTGGACGACGTTGTTCGTTTTGTCGGTGGCAAAAATCGTCAACGGTTTCGTGTAAAGAAAGATATCTGTTTGCGATGTAAGCCGACACACCCCTGTGCGCCTTTTCCCCTGTGGCAGCCAACCGATCTGTATACCAACCTCTTTCGTGCTTCTTCCACAGACGTCTACAGCAGAGGCCATATATCCTGTCTCGCTAAACGGCAATGTTGCGTGTTTTTTCCGTGCGTGGTTTCTGCGGTAGCAAGATTCTATGGATCTTCGTTCGGTCTGCGGAAAAAATCGTGAATGGTTCCGTGTAAAGAGAGATTGTTGTTTTGTGTTGTAAGCCGACGCACCTCTGTGCGCGCTTCTTTTCGCCAAAATTGCGCGGCAAAGTTCACACTTTTTTCCCGTGCGACAGCCAGCCGATCCAGATAGCACCCTCTGTTGTGCTTCTTCCTCCACTGTCTACAGCGGAGGCAAGGAATCCTGTTTTGCAAAACGATAATGTTATGAAAATTGTGGAGAAGTTGCGTTTTTTCTTTGTGCGGTTCCTGCGGCAACAAAATCCTGTGGACAATGCTCTTCGTTGGGTCAGCAGAGAAAACGTGAATGGTTCCGGAGAGCTTTTTGTTTGCCTTGTAAGCCGACAAATCCCTTCCTACCTCTCTTGCCAAACATGCACGGCAAAGTTCTCGTTTTCTTCCCGTCCGACAGCCAACCGAAGCGAACACCAAGCTCTTTTGCACTTCGTCCGCGAACGTTTGCAGCAGAGGCCAGGTATCCTGTTTTGCAAAGGCGGCAACAATGTGGCAGTTGCGGGAGAGATGTGCATGTTTTCCGTGCATGGTGTCGCAGCACGATCCTCTGAACGATGCTCCCTGGACCCTCCCAAAAACCTTCCCACATGCTTGAGTCCCACCACCCACTCTTCTTTCGCAGAAATATATCGCCCAATGCCTAATTCTTCTTCGCAAAATCTGCTGGCGAAGCCAGATTGGGATCCAACACATTCCAACTTGAACCGGTATGAGCCGGTATGATTCGATGCATTCTGTTTGGGGTCTTCGCTGGTGTAATTTGTTTCTGCCGGCGATTTGCTTTGCGCGTTATTGGCGCGTGGTCGAGCCACTCTGTGATTGGCGGGTCACCGGTCGATGTGGAGGTGTGACTCACGCCTGTGACCGGTGTCCAATGCTGGTAGTGTTAGAGCGGGTTGCTCGCCTGCCTTCCATTCACTGGCTACGCACGCCAAGCTGGAAGCCGCCCTTGCATGCAGTGGGATTGGACTTTTGCACTTTGGTGTGCACGATCGCGAAGGAACAAAACACAGGGGTTGTCCGTTGTCTGGCGAGACTAGAACGCTGCCGGAGCCTGGACTCGGCTCCACCTGTTGTTTTGGGCGGCTCTGAGCGACGGCTCATTGTTGCTCCTGACCGGTCGCTGAGGCTCCGTAGTTTGCTGAACGGCTAACACCGGCAAAGCCTGTGCGCCGCAGCCCTTCGTAGAGCTTCGCTTCTGTTTCACCGCTTTGTGTAGTTTGTTGTTTGTTTGACGTTTCGCTTGTTTGTAGGGACCGAGTGCTACAGCCGTAGTCGACGAGGCCCAGTCAAGCCAAAAAAGACTTTCCAGTGCATAGACCGATGCGACCCAGGAGGCAGCAGTGTGATCATCCGCACACAGAAGCAATCCGAGCGATCCCCGCAAGGGAAAAGAGGTGCGACGATCATTTGGAAGTGGTGCAACGAATGGAGACAGATGATGGAACCATTTGGTGGTGGCAATGGTGGAAGGAAGGGTCCAGAATCAGAGTGCGGCTTTTTTTCGGGTCAGCCTGACAATAAGAGTTTGCGGTGGAATGCTGCCGCCGAATTGCATAACTTAGAGATTGCATGATTGCCTGTCTTAAGGCCTTGCATGGAAATGGAAACAAGTGCATTGCAAGGGTAGACTGTGCCACCCAATTGCCTGACTAAGAGACTGCATTGCATGATTGCTTGTCTTTTTTCCGTTAGTGGACATGTTTACATCAGTTCTGTGTTTGTTACTGCGAGTGAGCAAAGCCAGTTCCAAGAATAGCGTAGACAGCCGGAGTTATCATCCTGATTTCTTTTCTGCCTTAAGTCAAGCTTTTGTTCTTAGTGGGCATGGAGACTGCGGCAGCGAAGCTCCTGTATGCGATAAGTCCTTGCTCAAAGCTGGGGCGTGCACCTGTGGTTGCTGAGCCCTGTGTCGGCATTTCTGCTTTTTAAGAGTGGATGCAGAAAGCAGGGCTTGTTTACAGGCCATGCACAGCCTGCGATTTCAACATGGACTTGGTGCCGTTTTGGCGAGCTCTGCGAAACCAGGGTTTGCAGGGGACTTTGGAAGTCAAACTTAGTTTGCAAGAAGGGAACATCGAGAGGAATGTTGTGCTGTCAAAACTGTCAAGTGCGGAAAGCCTTACAAGCGGGCCCCCTTGTTAGCCTTTTGCTTCTAAGGTTTAAGGCAGGGCGTCCAGGACGAGAAAAGCCGCACAGATGTTTTTGAATTATGTGTGGACATGATATGTAAACTGGGCTCGCGTGGCTATCTTCTGTTTTTCATTCTGGAAAACAGCTTACATTTGGCTGATGCCAACCATGCTAAGTTTCTAAGCAAGATGCTCTTAAGACTTAAAGTGTCACTGCCATATTTTTTGGTAGACTGGTAGACACCGTGAAAAAAGAGTTTCTGCCAGTCAAGAGAGATCGTTTCTTCATCAGAGGGCTAAGAAGAGACTACCTGCCAGACTCTATGCAGGCGTTTCTTCCTGCCCCCTTGTGCTGCACGGATCTGCTTCCGGCAGTTACAGTGGAAGAGATTTTGGATCTGAGCTTGGCTGCGACCGATGTGCAGAGTTTGTGTGCAGGGCACGCTGCTAATCTTGCAGTGTACAAGCAGACCATATCTCAGTGCATTGAAGAGCATCGTGTCCAAGGCAAGCCGCTGCCCTTGAACACGGTTGTTGTGGAGCTCGACCGAAACCCCTTGAAAGGTTTCGGCGGGAAGTGGAGTTGGGGGCAAGATCCCATCACTGAGGACTACGGGGCCACCTTTGTTTCTTCTGAGTTGCAAGGACTTGTCAAGGCCATGGCAGGTTATGCAACTGCACAGGTGGCTTAGCATCGCTGAGCGGTACAGCTTTCTGGGGCAGCGTGCAAGCCACGCGGCCTTGTTCTCGAGAGACATCCATGCCCTGCATGCGATCGGGAACGCTTTCTTGCCAGTGCAGCTGGCCGCTGTTGCCTTGCCGCTCGTGGAGGCAGCGGTCAGCTCTGGCGTGCTTACTGCAGGCAACCGTTGCAAAGCCTGCGCAGTGGAGCTTCTGCCGCACACGAAGCCACCGGGTACATCAGCAGCTTGTAGCCTTGTTGAGACCCCAAGGCCAAGTGCTACAAAAGGTTCCAAACCAAAGGCTGCAGTTGAAGAGGCAACACAAAAGACTTGAAAATCGAGGGGCAAAAGCAGTGCAAAGCCAAAGGCTTCAACTGAAGAGGCAAGCCCAAAGACCCGAACCCCGAAGGCCAAAACAGCTACAAAGCCAAAGGCTTCGACTGAAGAGGTAACCCCAAAGACTTGCAACCCCAAGGCCAAAAGTGTTCGAAAGCCAAGGGCTCCAACTGAAGAGGAAGCTCCAAAGACTCTGCCTCGTGACACCAGCACAAAGCCAGAGGCTTCAGCTGAAGAGGAAGCCCCAAAGACTCTGCCTCGTGACACCAGCACAAAGCCGGAGGCTTCAGCTGAAGAGGAAGCCCCAAAGACTCTGCCTCGTGACACCAGCGCAGCTGGTTTAGATGGCACCCACGACTTACCAAGTTACCAGCCAGAAGGCAGCACCCAGGACTTACCACGTCACCAGTCCGATGACTTGGAGCTAGAGCTTGAGCGAATGGTTGACGAGCTTTTTTCGGATGATGATCCGGGCATGGACGTTGATGATGCTGTGCCACAGAGTCCACTCGTCCTGAGTGAGAAAACAACACACCTCTTCGAGTGCTTGGCTAAAGCCAAAGCTTCATCCAAAAACTGGCTCTCGCAAGCAAGCAAGAGCTCCAAGAACGAATCTGAGCCAGCACAAAGCTCCGGAAGCACGGTTGGCGACAGACGGAGGCGTTCTACTAGCTCAGGGCGAGACATGCCAGAGAATGCTCAGCGCAAGCTGCGTTTCCCACCTCAGAACCTGCCAAAAGAAGCGATCCACCTCTCGGATTCCGACTAGCGCTTCTGAGCGGTGTCGGTTGCCATGGTGGCGGTCTGCCTGTTCGTAGATAGGACCTGCTAGGATGGTAGGTGGCTGAGCAGATGTGTGTGTGCACACAGCAAGCTTGAGAATCGTGCAAAACAGTCTTCCGATAACCCTTCTGTGTTCGCTGAGTAAGCTTGCCGGGTAGTTCCCTGATGACAGCCATTGAACTCACGGTTCTTGTTTTTGTGTCTTTGAGATTTCTCATTCTGCAGCGATTTGTTTGGCTCCGCAAGCCCCTCAGCTCCCACACTCGTGCTCCCCTGCCCCGCAGCAAGCATGACAGATGCCCCGGACCAGGAGATGCCTCAGAGCATCGTGTGCATCAGGTGTGAGGAAGAGACAAGCATCTTGACGAGCTACCCAACTGGAAGGAACTGCTTGAGGCGGATCTGCTCCTGCTGTTCGTCCACAGACCGCTGCCTCGCTCGGATGGCTAAAGCACCGAAGAAGGGCTCTGCCGAAGAAGCCAAAGAAAGCGAGGAGGCCAAGAAAGCTCGCAAATCCGCTGAGGCCCTGAGGGGAAGCGTGGCCAAGATGGGTTCCTCGGAGCGTGCCCAGTGGTACCGCCAAGAGAAACGGAAGCGGGCAACCGAGTCAAAGAAAAGCCGCAGGACCTTCGCAACGGCAGTGGGGGCCTTGGAAGAGACTCGCCAGACTGGGAACGAAGATTGCAGCGGCTCACGATACATGACCCCCCGCGACTGGTGCGCACGGGAAATGATCCTGAAGCAGTACAGTACCTTGGAGGATGCTATGGCAGCCTACGAGCAGCGCTGCACGGATCCGGACGTTGTGACCAAGGAGATCAACGGGGAACTCTGCCTCCGGGTCAACAACGGAGGTCTGGAAAATGTCGTGGACCGCCATACCGTTGCAGCATCCGTGCGGCAGCGGACTGACCTTGGCGATGGCGAGCAGCTTGATGGTTTCGAAGAGGAAATCGCACCTCGCATGAAACGTGCTTCTGACAAGCTCCAAACAGAGCGGCTTCTGTCAGAGCAGCAGGGCAAGCAGGCCTACGTTCCGGCCGTCGCGGTGCGACGAGATTTGGAGCAAGAGAAGGAAGTTGCTGAGAACAGAGCTGCTGAATTTCAGCAGCAAGCCTTGGCACTCAAGGAGAAAGCTGATCAAAAGAAGAAAGAGTTGAAGGAGAAGCAAGCAACCCAGCTTCCCTCCTTGGCAGTGGCAAAGCTCAGCCTCACCAACGCTATCCACAAGGCAAACGCTTCGATGTCCGAGCTGTTGAAGCGTCAGAAGGCTACGGCAGACACCTTGTGCAAGGACTTGACGAATGCTTTGTGCATGGCAGACGTGCCCGTGAAGAGAGAAGCCGAGGACAAGACGAAAGTGCTGAATGACAAGATCAAGGACCTGGAGACTGCCATGGAGGAGTCCATCACAGAGTGGAACACCAAGGCTGCTGACGAAAGCCTTGACGTCGAAGCCATGGTGTCAATGGAGAACGAACTGGCAGCCTACATGAAGGAGTGGCACCTTGGCAAGCACTGCCAGGCAGTGTTGGACACGAAGCAGCAGATTGAAAACTTCCGCGAATTCACCGCAGACTGCAAGAAGGAGGTGAAGAAGCGGGACAAGCTGGCCGCGAAGGCGACAGTGAGGGGTTCGAAAAAGAAGGCCAAGCTTGATCATCCGAACAGCCAGGCAGCTTCCGAGACCCCCGCCTTGGTGGTCAAGCTGTTGAAGCACCTCAATCAGAACCCGCTTCCCGATGATCCCATCAACTGCGCAGCGGAGCCAGAGGATGACATGACAGTGCCCCTTCTGCTCCCACCAACGCCCGTGGAAGGCTTTACCCGGGATGTGACCCGCACGAGTATTACAGCGAGCAAAAGAAGTGGGTGGAGCAGATGCTGCTGAGGAGCAGCCAGAAGTACTCGTGTGCGGTGGTCACCAGAGACAATGTGGCCAGGCCCTTCTTGCAGCTGCTGGACCAGATCCTGCCGGTGCCACTGCGTTCCGTGGCACGACCCTCGAGCAAGAGATCTGGCAGTTGTACTTTTACCAGATGGCCGAGGACTCCGGCCGCCTCTCGATGTCCACTGACTGGGGCTTGCCCGAATTGCGCATCTGCTGCTAAGGCAAGGAAATCTACTTGGGGTTCCCCGTGAAGAAGCTAGCCGGCAACACGACGGCCGAGATGCTGCAGCACCTGGAGCAGATGCGTGCAGAAGAGTTCCTCACGGCAGTTCAGCGGGATGGCTGGTGTGTGACATGCCGCCCTGGGAGGGGAGTCGTGCTGCCCACGAATTGTTTGTTTGTTCATCTGAGCCTGCGGGGACCTGAGACCTGCCGCGGAGCCAGGATTCACATCGTGTCTGACAAAAGCCTCCAGACGGCTCTCACTCACCTGGAGAGGCAGGTCCAACAGGACCCGGCACTGGAGTCCAAAAGAGCCGGCCAGCTGCTGAAGTGGATCCGCGAGAGGTGAACTGTGCGGCATCCTTAGCGTCCAGGCTGCAGCTTCTGCTGCTAACCTGTGACCTTATGGATCATTCACCTTGGCTTCGTGGCCACTTGCCTGCTCCCCGCAACCCCATCTCATCGGGGTGTGGTTTTTAACAATTGTTTTCGGCAGGGGTGCTGCTTCGCAGCTATCCCTTCGGCAGGGGTGCTATCCTGTGGGCTGCTGCTTTTGCAGCTAACCCATCGGCAAGGGTGCTGCTTCGCAGCTATCCCTTTGGCAGGGGTGCTGCTTGGCAGCTACACTGTGGGCTGCTGCTTTTGCAGCTAACCCATTCTTGCCTTTCTCCGAATCCTGGCAAGATACAACTGCCGCCAGCGTCTGAGAGCAGAGCCTTAGGACTAGGACACGTACAGACCTCAGCAGTATCTGAAGCTGTAGGCTCTGGAAGGTTTGAAGCGGTTTGGGTACACACTCGTGCTTACTGTTGAGGTCAGGTTTCTCAGGGTGTTACTGTGCACAGTGTCACCGGGTTCCCTGTCAGCCAAGCTTCACTTTTGTGTGACCAGCAGTTGGCAGCACACAGAATTACGAGAAGCTTGCAAAGGGATGTATCGATTCACCTGTCAACAATCTGCTCTCAGACAACCCACAAACAAAAAAGTTGTGGGCCAAAGCCGTAGGGCCGTAGGGCCGTAGGGAGTCCTGGGTGTCCGGGGTTATGTCAGGAGTTTCGGGGGGTGGGGGGACGGGGTTGTGTTCGGGATGTTCCGGAGGGGGGGTGTCCGGGATGTTCCGGAGGGGGGGTGTCCGGGATGTCCGGAGTGGTGTCCGGGATGTCCGGGGTGGTGTCCGGGATGTCCGGGGCATGTCCGGCGCATGTCCGGGATGTCCGGGGCATGTCCGGGATGGCCGGGGCATGTCCGGGGCATGTCCGGGGTTGTGTGTCCTGAGGTCTGTGTCCCGAGGTCCCACCCAAGGTCTATGCATTAATATCATCTAGGATGGGACAGGGGAGAGCATTTGCTGTACTGCTGCATTTCATGAACCGCAGAAGTTAAGCTCTGTCAGTTTCGGTGTTGAGCGGTGTGCCTTTCAGGATGTCCAGCCAACGTTTGTTCGATAGCCAAGTGATGCTGGACAACGACTCTGTGCTGTTCGACAGCCAGGTTGATCCAGGGACTTGGGCAGCGGGGCGCACGTTGGCTGCACCGGTTGTGCCTGCTGCTAGTTCTACTGCGCACCAGACTGGCCTGAAGCGCAAGAATGCATGCCTGGAATGGGAAGGTGATTTTCCAGACACCCAGGTAGAGCTGTATCCGCCGCCTACTATCGTGAATATCTACGAGGACCCAAGCCCAAAACCGAAGCCCCGCAATGAGGTGGCTGAGAAGTCCTCAGAAAAGTCCTTGCAAGAACAGCTAGAAGCCTCCCAGTCGAAGGTGAGTGAGCTGCAGGATCTGAACAGAACTCTGCACGGCAGAGTCAGGGAGTTAGCGCAGCAGCTGGTGCAAGTGATGGAGGAAAAAATACTCTTCTGGCTGAGAAGCATGCGAGGATGATCGCTGACTTGAGCGTGGAGCGTTCTGCCCGCGAAGAGCTTGAAGAGCTTTTGGCACTTAATTTTGATGACGACGACGATCAATGATGAGAAGCAGCTCCTGAGGCTTGGCCTTGAAGTTTCTGCTGCCGTCCTGGCTGCTGGGGAGCTTTTTCAGCCAATGCAGCTTTTGGCCACGGGCCGCAGACTTTTCATTCAGGGCAGCAGGCTCAGGGTGCTACCGCGAAGGCTTCGCGATGCGCCCAGTGCCAGCCGCCTTGAAGAAAGAGGCTCATGGGTAGTATGTATACGGCTAGAAAGGCAGGGGAATGCAGGGGACTACAGAAACCAGGTGCTCCGAGCGTGAGTGTCGGGACAGTGGAAAAAGAGGAGCTGAGCTTTTGTAGTTTCTGAACCGTAATAGGGATGTGTTATGGGCCTTGTTAGGGAGGGTTTTGGACTGACGAGGGCTTGTGCGTGCTACCAGAAAAGGACCGATTTTGTTTTAGGGGACGTGTTTTGTTGTTGGGAAAACACAGCTTTTGAGTGAACGGTTTAAAGACTATTAGAACGAATGTATTTTTTCTAAAACGGTTCATAACCGTTTTTTTTGACCCCGTTTGCACCCTAGGTTAGCGCCCCCCGGGCCTAGATGAATAACTTATAGATCAACCTGCTCGATACTGAGGTCTGAGGGGGCGCCTCCAGAGGAGAATGGGCGGAAAGACCCAGCCACAAATCCCCTGGTCGAGGCCGTCTCCGACTCGAATTTCGCCAACAGCCACGAGATGTTGAGGAGCTTGAGCGCAGGCCAGGTGTACTACGACGGCGCCCTGGTTTACTCCTTCGTGCGGGCGCAGAAGGTTGTCACGACAAGCTCTGGTGAGGCCGAACTGGTTGCCCTGACGCAGACGGTGGGAGAAGCAGTGTTGGTGCGGAAGGCGGTCGCGTTCTTGCCTGGACTGCAAAACTTTGCATCCGTATGTATCAGTATATTTTGGCCGGTACTTTTGTAAGTACTTTTGCTTTACGCTTTGAGCTCCGTTGTACAGTGCTGACGCACGACTTTGCAGGCGCTTTTGTCCGAGCGAAAATTGTCATGGTAGCGGAGCGCTACGGCGCTCGTAGGGACCTTTGGTTGTTGGGCGTGAGCTTTGGAAGTTCAGGGGCCCAGGCTTGGAAAGCGTTTGTCTCGACTTGTGTGTTGGGGAACTAGGCTTTGGAAGTCGTAGATTCGCCCATGGCAGATCAATTCAATTCGAAGCCGACATGGAAGCACCTCAGCTTCCTGCTGGCGCCACGGCGGCTGCGGCCGCTCAGTCTCCGAATGCAGCTGCTGCGGGCGGTTTGTCTCCTGGTTCTGGGGCCACGCCTGCAGAGCAACAGTTGGTGATGATTTTGGCATCGCTACAGCAGAATCAGCAAGCAATTTTACAGATGATGAGAGAGCAGAGTGAACATCGTTCGCAGGCACAGAGTTCGTTGGAGAGTCTTCGTGGAAAGGATCTTACGAAGGTCCTGAATGCTCCTAGCCCTTTTGATGCGAAGACTAGAGATGAAGAGCTGGCTAAGTGGTCAGCTTGGTCGTGGCAGTTCGAGTCCTGGCTAGGGACGCTGGATCCGGGATTTGCTTCGGGTATCGATTTGATCAAAGCGCAAGGCGCCAATGAAATGAAATTTAGCACTTTGAGCCTGAAGGATCAAGAGAGGTCTCAGTTGATGTTCGGCATCTTGTCCGGACTGTTGCATGAGCGCGGAAAGCGTTTATTGCGATCGATCTCCGATCGCAACGGCTATGAGGCATATCGATCTTTGCTCGTTGATCTTCTTCCCGGCAGCAGGTCAAGGCTTTTGGCATTGTTGCAAATGATTAACCAATGGCCCTCATTTGATGCGCGGCAGGGCTATGCACAGCAAATGATGAAACTAGAGAGCGCATTCACGGAGTATGACTCCCAGAGTGCGAACCCCTTGTCCGAGGACATTAAGATCGCATGCCTTTTACGGTGTGTGACTGGCCAACTCAAGCAACATTTGAATGTCGCTGTTACAGACACAACAAAGTATGCAGACCTTCGATCTCTTGTTCTTCGGTGGGACAATGCTCAGACGCGTTGGGACACTGCGGTTGCTGCTACGTATTCCTTGGGTGATGGTCGTGGTAGTGCAGGACATGGAGTGCAGCCTATGGATGTCGATGCTCTTGGTGCTGTAACGCTGTAACCTGGAAGGGTAAAGGCAAGGATAAGGGCAAGGACAAAGGAAAAGGCAACAAAGGAAAGACCAAGGAAGGAAAAGGCAAGCAGCAGAAGGGCAAGGATCATGGAAAGGGAGGATGGAACAGTCAACAACCGAACAAGGGTAAGGGCAAGGGCAACAAGAACAATGCGAAAGACCAGAGTGACGTTTGCATTTATTGTGGGAAGAGAGGCCACTGGAAGAGAGATTGTTTCAAGTTCAAGAGAGACGCGGCGAATGCTATCAAACAGGTTGCTTCTGCGAGTGATGATCAATCTACAGCAATCACAAGTGATGCGGCGTCTACGGCTGCATCGACAGTGACCCCGAGCCAGAGTGCCTCTAACGCTCCCGTGCCCAGGCGAATCCAGATGGTTTCCAGAATCGATGATTTGTTCGATCTCACCAAGATCGATGACGATGATGATGGCGAGACTGCAACCTTTTCTGAGAATATCATAGGGTTTGGAGGTTCACTTCGGGCCGTGCAGTCTGCGAGCAGTTTCGACATGTCGTTGAGTGCTGAGTGGTACGATCTTTCAAGTGATGATCAGCACGACGGTGAAAGCAACGTGTGGAGCATTGTGCTGGAGTACAGTGCTTTCGATTTGAGTGCAGAGCATCTTTGCTTGCTTTGCGCAAGGAAGGGCATCGATGATGCCACTCAGGCGGGGATTGGACTCCTCGCTGGCTCAGTGCATGAGAGTTCAAAGGTGATTTCGATGTCAGTGCATGAGAGTTCAGATGCGATTTCTATGTCAGTGCATGAGAGTTCAGATGCGATTTCTACGTCAGTGCATGAGAGTTCACTTTCAGTGCATGTGAACACAAACAATGGTCCTGGGGGCCACCTTCCTTCGCAAGTGATTGCATCAGCGCATGAGAGTGCTTCGGTAGGTCCAGAAGTGATGTCGGTACGAGCGGTGACCAAGGTACAACAGATCATTCTGGATAGTGGCGCTGACTGCAGCGCGTTGCCGATGAGCTATGCGCACGTCGGAGTTCCGGATGAGAAGGCCACTGCAGGCCTCTTTGTTGATGCGCAGGGTAACCCGTTGCACACTGCAGGAATCAGGGTTGCTGAGATTCAGATTGGGCGCTTGAAATTCCGAGAGCGCTTTGTGATAAGTGATGTGACCCAGCCTCTTGTCAGTCTGGGAAAGCTCTATAGACTCTATAGAGCTGGATGGTTCGTGGCTCCTCAGGGCGATGGTTTGTTTCTCACAGATGGAAAGCAGAGTGAGCGTGT